TCCGCGGCAACTGAGGCGTACAAAGCAATAGAGCGCGTGGCGGACGCGCTAGGGCTGCCGCTTGACCAAATCGACGCCGTCTGCAACGCGGTCGAGGCCGCGACCGCCAGCGGCATTCGCGCGCACCGCTTCGTCGGCATGGCCTACCGGCGGCTGCGGCGCGCGTGCCTGGCGGGGGACGCAGCGAAGGCGCGTGCGTGGATGGAGCAGACCGCGGCGGGCGGTGGCGCGGGCGGCGCGTGATGTGTGTGAGGCTTGCGGGTCCCGCTTTTTCAGAAGCGCCCAGGCGCGTGGGCGTGCGGAGACCTGAGGCCTTTCCTGCCAGCAGCACCAGTATGTATCCAGAACGCCCCGCCCCGCCCTGCGCTGCGGCTGTCCAGCGGCGCGGCCGGGCGGCGTGTGCCCTAAAAGTTGGACTCTGAATGAATGGACGTGCCCTGGCTCCCTGTTTCCGTGTCTGTTGAGCAAGGGCCGCCCCGGACGCTGATCAGGCGCTCGCTGCGGGACCCCTCCTGGGGTGGCGCCGTGTTTTGCCGCAAGCGCCCGGACCTGCTCATGCGCCGCGCGTGTGTGGTGCTGTTGTGGCACGCTAGATTCCCTGAAAATCGTCAGCTGAGAACGCCCGGCTCGCGCCTGTGGGTGACACGCTCCTGTGGGGCCACGCAGCGGCTGCCCGACTTCATGCCGACCACTGTGCCCAGGGCACTGTTGATCGCCCTCACGCCTTTGTTCATGGTCGCAATCAACAGGACGTGGCAGCCAACGCCGACCTCAGGGCAGGCGGATACAACACGCTCCCCATTGCCGGTGCCCGCTCGCCCAAGTTTGGACAATGGTCAACCACGGCACCCTGCAACACGCTGGCGTTATGCTTGCTATTCTTCTTGGCCATCAACTGCCTGCAAACCACCCTTGCATGCATGTCCTGAATGGGGTGTGTACCACTGACTCCAGCACTGCAAGGGAGGCCGAACCTGGCCGACAGGCCCGCGTCAGCGCACAAAAGAAACCCAAATGCCAGAACCCCACAATCAATTGGCTTTATAGTTGCCAGTTGAGACTTTGGCCAGTCAACCAAGATCACAGCATGACTCATGGCCTGGGCCCTATGGGCGACCCAACCGGGCGCCGCGCCCCAAGTGGTGGCACGTCGCACAAGCGCCCATAACCAGAATGATGCGTCCGCGCGGCGCCGCCGACAACAGAGCCCACCGCTCGTAGTACAGTCGCACTCCATCCTCCAGGATAACGTATCCGATTTGCTGCGGCCCCAGACCCACATGAAGCGGGTCCATCCAGCAAGGTATGGCCTGCGTTTGCAGCGGTATGCCTCAGCAACAATCGCCCAAAAGTGGTCCCCGGTCAACGCGTTATGAATCAAAAAATCGGTTCTATTTAAAGTTTTATGAAGTACAAGCGACGCCGATCGGTTGTTGCAGGGTGCCGCGTGCAAGTGACAACCGTTGCGCGTTGTGTGCATGCTTCTGAATCTGTGAAGAGAACATCGACCAAGGTTTTCTATGCGTGCGAGGTTACGTACAGCCACATCACTTTCTCGTCGGCGCGGGCAAGCCTCTTCACAGACGCAATAACTTTGGCCCTCCACTCTGTTTATCAATTGATTTATTTGAGCAGAAGCAGCTGGCTGCACCTCAAGCTTCGGTGTGCGCATCTGGTCGGCAAGCGGCGGCGCGTGCAGCCGTCACCGCTGCCGGTGCTGCTGCAGTCCCGTGCGCGGCGCCACCCTCACGGTTGGGAGCCTCCGGCGGCATAGCCCAGGGACAGCGGAGAGGTCGCCAGGCAGAGCGCACACACCTTGCCGGTGGCTGGCCTGCCACCACAGCCAGTGACACTTGAGCCCGAGCGCAGGCAGCAGCGTAGGCAGCCATGGGCAAGGGGGAGCGGCCAGAGCACACGGCCCCTCCCGAGATCTTTTACAATGAAGAGGAGGCCCGCAAATACACCACCAACAGCCGTATGATAGCGATCCAGGTGGGACTGGTGGGGGCTGGACGTGGAGGGGCCCGCGGGGGTGGAGGGGTGATGTCATGGGGCGGCGGATGAAGGGGGCATGCACGACGTCAACGCCCGCTCTGATTGCATGGGGCGCCAGAAGATGGATAGATCAAGCGGAGAGGGCGATCCCGATGATTCATCCACAGGCCGCTTGCTACCTAGGCGGGGGCACCAGCAGCAGTGCGACTGCTGCGGCCCCTCACTCCCCGCCAACCCACTCTACGCCCTAATCCACATCACGAGCGCGCCGCGCACGCCCTTGCATGCGCATCCCCCGCAGGCGTCCCTCACAGCGCGCGCGCTGGAGCTCCTGGCGCTGCCGCCGGGCGGGCCCCCCAAGGTGCTGCTCGACGTCGGCTGCGGCAGCGGGCTCAGCGGGGAGGCTCTGAGCGAGGCCGGCCACGTGTGGGTGGGGTGTGACATCAGCGAGGCCATGCTGGACGTGGCGGTCGACAGGGAGGTGCGCACACGCGTGGTGTGGGTGTGCGTTAAGTGTGTGTGTTGATTGTGTCTGTGTGTGTGTGCATGTGTGCTTGCGTGCGTTCGTCGTGCGTGTGCGTGCGTGCATGCCTGCGTTAGTGTGCGCGGGCGCTCGCCCGTGTGAACATGTGTGCGTGCGTGCCCAGGCGTGTGTAAGCACATGCTTGTCATATGCACTCATGCAAACACAAACCCGCACTCCACAAAACCCTGTGTGTCAGGTCGACGGGGACGTCCTGCTGTCTGACATGGGCCAGGGCCTGCCCCTGCGCCGCGGCGTCTTCGACGGCGCCATATCCATATCAGCGGTGCAGTGGCTCTGCAACGCCGACCGCAGCAACCACGACCCCCGGAAGCGCCTCAAGCGGTTCTTCGAGACGCTGTACGCCTGCCTCGCGCGCGGCGCACGCGCGGTGCTGCAGGTGCGGCGCACGCCGCCCGGCCCGACGGGCCCGCGGAAGCGCCGGCAGCAGCTGCGGTGCCGATGTGCACGCACGCGCCTTGTTCGCTTGTAGCGGCATGGTCACCCTCGTAGCTGGGGTTTTCTCTATTGCGTGCATGCCCCATGCTATCCTTGGTTGTCATGTTGCACAGGCCTGCACTCCAGCTCCCCGTGCCATCGTATTAAATCTTGTTCCCTGGTCTCCTCGCTCCTCACAACTAGATCTACCCTGAGAACGCGACGCAGGCAGAGATGCTCGTGGCAGCTGCCATGAAGGTGCGGCGACGCGGTCCAAGCCCCTAAGCACGCCCCGCCAAACTCTCCCGACACCCCCTTCCCCCCTCAACCCCAATGCGCAAGCCCCTGCGTGGCCTCCCCTCAATTCCAACGCGCCTTGCCCGTCTGCCTTCCCGCCCCCGACCAGCCCAGCCCTCACGCCAGGCCCCACCACCTCGCCGCACCACGTAACGGCCCTTCACCCACCCACCCAACCTCCCCACTCCCTCCCATCCACCTACACACACACATACACACGCATGCATGCACGCACACACACACACTCACACATACACACTCACACTCACCCACACCCACACCCATTCCCCACACCCACACACCACCCCAGGTGGGCTTCAGCGGCGGCCTGGTGGTGGACTACCCCCACTCCACCCGCGCCAAGAAGTACTTTCTGGTGCTCATGGTCGGCACAGGTGGCTACATCCCGCAGGTGGGCGGCGGCTGGGAGGTGGACCGTGGCTGAGGCGCTTTCATGGCTTGCTGTGTGTGCGGGGGGCGGGTGCGGGTGCGGTTGCGGGGGCGTGCGTGGATGTGATGTGCGCATGTGGGCTGGGTTTCAGCTGTTTGTACTCAGGTTTTGAAGGGTTATTAATCAGTCATCTGGCAGCGTTGCTGTCGAACTTTTGAGTGCGCTACACACCGATGCGCGGACGCTTTGCGCGCCCGCACACACACCCCCACACACACACATACACACAACCGCCCCAGCCCCCGCCTCTCACACACCCCCAAACTTCTCGCCCCCTGGACCACCCCCCAGGGCAAGGAGGGCGACTCTGATGAGGAGATGGAGGAAGCAGCCCCTGCCGCCCGCCGCCAAGTCGCCGTCGCAGGCCGCGACCGGACGCGGCGCAAGGGCGGCGGCCCCCACGGCCACGGGGTGACGAAGGACAAGGGCTGGGTGCTCAAGAAAAAAGACAAGCTGCGGCGCAAGGGGCACGAGGTCAAGCCGGACACAAAGTACACGGCTCGCAAGCGGCGGCGCATCGTGTAGCCTGCGCGCCGTTCCGCTGGCGCGTCGTCTGGCCGGAGCGTCGGTCATTTGGCTGGCTGCGCATGCAGCAGTTGCAAGGCCCGGGGCTGTGGTTGGGCGAGGAGGCTGCTTGGTGCATCGCCGCCGCAGTCCTCGGCTCGCCGTGCTGCCGCGGGCTTGTCGGCTGTGTCGTCATCCTTTGTGGCCGCCTGTTGTGCTGGGGGCCTGCGAACGGCTACATCACGTTGCAGGCACTGTTGCTTGTGGCTGGTGCGCCCACCTCGTGCCGGCTGCAGATAGCCAGGTCTGAATTTTGATGCCTGGCTCTGCGCAGACCGGGCACTTGCGCCAGTCGCTGCATAGTCGGCAGCGCACCAGGCACCGAGTGCCGCACACCTGCCCTCGCAGCCCGCTGGCGTATTGCACATGGCACCTGCGTGTTTGACAGCACGCACAGGGACGCGTGGCAACAGCAACGACCAGTCCCAAAGGGACCAGTCCCACCCCATGCACAAGGGAGCCAGCATGCCGCTCTCAAGCGCACGTTGCCGACCAAAAGCACCAGCCCCTGTGGCAGGGGTCTGCCAGCACCGCATGCACTGCACACGGAGCGCCTGGGCGTCGCGGGCGTTGAGATGATTGTAATGAACACGGATGTGTGCCTTCCATCTCACTCAGATAAGCAAGCAGGCGGAGTCGGCGACACACCACACCTGTCGGGCCGGTTTACCGGGCGACTTTGAGTTGCTGCAGCGGCGCGCCAGGCTTGCCGCCGCCACATTGTCACAGCCCTCAAAACCCCACCCACGCCAGCAGCCCCGTGTCTCATACACCTCACTGTCAACCCCCATTAGTGCATTTGACTGCCCAGGAGATTGTCAGCTGCAGCTGCAAATTTCAATCAAACCAGCATCCTGATCTGTTAGGCGCAGCCATCATCATGCAAATCACGCACCCTGTGATTTCAGGCACGGTTAGTAGAATGTTACTATCACGACATGCCGCGCCAACACCCCGTTCCAGACGCGCGAATGGCGCGCATGTCGCAGCGCGCCGTTGGGATGGGGGTGCATGGGGCCGGCAGAACATGTCGTGGCGACCGCCTGAACGCCACCACCTCTGCCCTTGAGCCGGCGCATCGCAGCGCCCCAAGCCCAGATGGGCATGCAGGAGCGTCGCCGCCGCTGCTGCCGCTGGTGACCACGGAATGCAGCAGCGCGTGCGTGTGCATGTGCATTTCGAAGGGGGGCAGCGCTCGCCTCGCACGCAGGCGGTGCTGGCGTGGCGCAGCGGCAAGGGCCGCGTCACAGCTTCTGCTGGCAGACGGGGCAGGTGGCCTTCTGGCGCAGCCACGTCTGGATGCAGCCCGCGTGGAATTTGTGGAGGCAGGGCAGCGTGCACAGCTGCTGGCCGTCGCCAAACTCCTGGGGGACGCGGGGGCGGGGGCGACGCCGCCACGTGTCAGCAGCGTCAGCAGTGGGCTGGGAGTGGCACTCAGGATTGCTGGGGAAGCTCGTCGTGCGCGTGGTGGTTGGGGACTCCGCAGATGTGTGCTCTAGGTGGCTGGCTGGCTGCAGGCGCAGGCAACAAGCCTAGTGAGGCTCCCTAAAACCCCGCCCTTCGACCTTGCAAAATCATGTATAGACCAGGCGCCGCACCTCAAGGCACACGCTGCACGCCAGGCGCTCGCCACCCTCCCCCGTGAGGCCGCCAGCTGGTGCTGTCTGCGTGGGCAGCTGCGAGAGCTGCTCCTTGGAGGCGCCCTTCCTGCTATCCACCGTGTCGTCCAGACGGCACAGCAAGTCGTAGTCGTCTGGGGGGCGGGGGATGTGACATCATTGCTCGAGGTCGCGCAAGCGCATCATGCAAGCAAAGCTGAGCTTGAATGGGACCGCGTGAATTGTGCGCCGAGCAGTGCGGCGCTGCGGAGGCAGGCGGCGACAAGGACAGTATGCAGGGAGCAGCTACACGCAGCCGTGTCAACAGGGGCAGCAGCAGCCACCTGCATGGACAGCGATGAGCAGCAGGGCGACGGGGGAAGAAGCAATCCAAGCATGATGCTCGCCGCACCAAGGCAGCCCCGCCGCGCACCAGACGGCCGGACGGGCCCTCACCTGCTGTGAAGTCGCGGTCGCTGAAGAGAAGGTGCGGCGGCAGCCCCGACCGCTGCAGCCCCACCACCGCCTCGCGCAGCGCCATCAGCGGCTGCGGCACCCCCCCGCGCCCCTGCCCATACCCTCCGCTGCTGCGCCGGCCAGCGCTGCCGCCGCTGCCGATGCCAGCACCAAACAGGACATGAGGCGGCCGGCCCGGCGGGAGGAAGGACATTGGTGAGTAGGGCATGGCCGCGCCCTCGGCCCCGCCGCCGCCGCCGCTGCCCCTGCGCTGCGCGCCGCCGGAGCGGGGGCGCGGCTGCTGCCGCCACTGCGGCTGCGATGGCTGCTGCTGTTGCTGCTGCTGCCCGCGGCTGCGTGTGGGGCGCTGCTGCTGCTGCTGCCGCTGCATCGATGCCTCCTCTAGGTCCTGCCACATCTGCATGCGGGCCTGCACAAAGTCCCAATGGATGGGTAGCAAAAGGAAGAACGTGATGTTGGGAATAGAGGGCAGCATGCCAATTCATTGGTCAGAGGATGCTACTGCGCCGAGCGGTCTTGGCTGAAACAATGCGTGCGGGTGACCGTGGCGGGCGACCTGTAACCGCAGCACTGAGGTCCGTCCGACCCATTGACTGCGCACCCTTGCATAGTCGTCCGCCCTCTTGCGCCGCACTTCGTCCTCCTGGGCCAGCTGCCGCGCGAGGCGCGCGTCCTCCTCCTCCTGCTCCCGCCTCCCCGGAGACGCGCGCCGCCGCGCCGCCGTGGGCGCTGGCGCAGGTGCGGCCTGCCGGCCCGGCCGCCCGGCGCGCGCGGGCGCCGGCTGCGCCGAGGGCGCGGGCGTGGGGGCGACCACGCTCATGATTGCGACCTCGGGGTCATCGTCAGCGGCGACCTCCTGGTGCGCGCTACCAGGCGCCGCGCGGCGCCGCCGCTGCCGCGCGCCAGTCGCGCCCCAGTGCAGCGCGTCGCTCTCGCCGCTGCCCTCGCTGCTGCCGGCGGGGCGGGCCGAGGGGCCGCCGCAGGCGAAGAAAGGGCCAGGCGAGCTGCCGTCAAAGGCCAGGTCTTCGCGGCCCGTCATGTCGGCCCACTGCCGCTTGTTATTCCGCCGCCGCCACTGCTGCTGCTGCCGCTGCTGCTGCTCCTGGGTGTTCACAAGAATTGCGGTACGCCATCATGCAAGCCGTTGAGTGGCAGTCGAACCCAGTGTAGGGCATGCATGGAGCACCGTGTGGCAGGCGCATGAGGTGGGACATGCCCCTGAGACGGCACTTCCCGCTTCATGACAGCTTTTGCGCATCCGCAGCGCACCATGACGCCTGAAGCTACAAGGCCGGCCTTCAGCGACGCGCTGGCCAACTGTTGAGCGCCTGCCAAGCACAAACGGGACAGAGGAGGTGCCAACAGCGTCAACGAGAGCAACATACGCCTGCACCCGACCCTAGCCTCTCCTAGGCGCTACATCAGGCCTTCTGGACCCAACCCTGACATTCTTGAAGCGATGCATAAGCTCCTTGCACTCAGGGCTCGCGCATGTGACTCGTCCCACGCACCAGGGTCCTCCTCAAAGCTCAAGTCGATGCAATCCCCTACTGCACTGGCTCCAGTGCCCTGAGCTATAGCCCTCACGCGTCGCCGAGCGCGCCTGGTGGGCGCAAATGAAGGGAGGTCGGTGAGATCGATTTCATGCTCCATGATGGTGCGTGCGCACGTATTCAAGTGTGTACATAAACCACAGCTCGTTGAGTATAGGACCGTACAGGCCTGCGCCCCGAGCAAGCTTTCCAGCGTCACTGCTTTTACGGTACCCACGGCGCGCTGCTTCGCCTGCCTCGCCGCTAAAGAGTTCCGCAACTGCCGTCACCATGCAGTGGCGTTTGTGCCTGTGTATGTTGAAGACTGTAAGCATCAGCCTGCTGTCCTCTGGACATTGCTGTTGTGCAGTGGATGTAACCTGGTCGAAGGCAGGGTCCCAAGTCACATGCCAGGCTGCTGATGACTCGTCCGGTGCCACACCGTACCCGCCAGGCAGGACTTCAGTCCACGTGCAGCTTTCCCTGATGTGTCAGGAATCCATCTGAAAAATCGCCCGCACGTCATAGAGTGTGCGTCAGACCAGTTGGAGCTTCCGGTCAACACCGGTCAACCTCTCACAAATTGCACCCCAACAGGCCCTTGACCAGTTTGCAACTGAACCCGTAGCACTACACTCCCCTCCTCAAGAGTGCCTGTTTATCGGCCTCATAAGTCCTCGAAAAGGCAAACCAAGGGATCTCGACAAGCAGGCGTGGCCCCCACAAGCAGGCGCAGCCCCGCTCCCCCGCTAGTCAAGCCCTGAGAGCCACGGCACCAAGCCTTGGAGCTGCTGAGTGTCCCCAGATGCAGAGCTTTCCACAAAGGCCAGGGCCGCTTCCCTGCACGCCCCGCTGCGAGCAAGGTAAGACTCGCGGCTTCCCAGCAGCTGCCGCACCGCCGCCTCCCAGGCGTCCACAGGCTGCTCTGCAGGGAGCCGCCGCAGCCGCCAGCTCGGGTGCGGCCGGCAGTCGCCAGCGGCGTCCGCCGCGGCGCCATCGGGGGCGCCGCCCGTGTGGCAGCTGCAGGGGCACAGCCCCCTGCCCTGGGCCTCCTCCCGTCGCAAGCAAGCCGATGTGACGCCGGTCGGTGCGGCACCGCACGCAGCGCACGCCAGCGGCAACTCGGCCAGAGAGACAGGTGCTGCCAGCGCCGCGCCTCTGGACGCCTCGAGCGGAAGTGCGCCGGCGTCGGCCACCACCGCGGGCACGCCGCGCAGGGCGGCGTCCACGACGGACATGCCGAACGCCTCTTGCAGCAGGCTGGGCATGACCAACACGTCCATCCTCGAGATCAGCCCCGTCAGGTCGTCTGTCGGCGCAACCAAGAAGAGGTTAGGCGGAGGCCCCGGCCGCGTCGCCGCCTGCTGCCCTGATATGCGCTGTGTGGCACCTGGCCCTCCGTCGCTGCGGCCGTCAAGCTCGCCGTTGCTGCCATTGGTGCCGCCCGCAGACCAGTCCACCGCTAGAAAGTCGCAGTCCGGCATCCTCGCGGCGAGCTCGTCCACAATTGCAGCGCCCTTCTCAGGGGTGCGCTTGAGCATGCCAACCACGGGCCGGCGCGCCCATTGACGTGATCGCTCCGCCCGTGCGGCCCCGGCCGTGGCCGCTCCCTGTTCTTGCTGCTGCTGCTGCTGCTGCTGCTGCTGCTGCTGCTGCTGCTGCTGGGAGGACGTCGGAGCTGCACCGGCTGTGTTGGCTGGGGCGCAGCTGTCGGGCCACAGGCTGCGCGCGGCGGCGGCGCCGCAGTCAGGCCAGGGCGGGGCGCCAAACACGCCAAGATTGGCCAAGCTCAATACCAGGATCCGGGTACTCGCCTGCTCCTGCCCCAGCCGCCGCTGCTGCGGCTCCTTTTGCTGCTGCTGCTGCTGCGGCGGCGGCGGCTGCTGCCGCTGCTCCTGGTGGCGCGCCCGCCCTTCCGGCTGCCCAGCCCACGCAGCCGGCAGCGATCCCGTCGCTTCCGCCGCCGGCAGGCACCCGCGGGCGTGCTCTCGGAAGTATGATGCGACAAACTTCGACACACACAGCACGCCGTCCGCGCCTGCCCACGAACCCAGCAGCCCGGGCGTGCGCGGGGTGCAGCCGGCGGGCCCAAACGGCAGCAGGTGGATGTTCTGGACAAGGAAGTGCAGCCTGCAGGCGCCGCAGCGCGCCAGGGCCGCCAGGCAGGCGGGGAGCGCGGCGCCGGCCGCCGCCTGCGTTTCGTCCGCATCCAAGATCACGACCACAGAGCCCGAGCCGCCGCTTGCGGTTGTGCTGCCGCTGCTTGTGATTTCGTTGCCGCCGGCGGCGTTTGCGCCGGTGGCGCCAAACCGCTGGCTCGATGCTGCCGTGGTGTCCGCTGGCGCGCGCCCGGCTGGGGCGTGCGCGGCGTTGCCGCGCGCTCCTGCGCTCTCAACAAGGGCCTCGGCTGCGGCTGGCAGGTCCGCCGCAGCGTACACAGCACGGTGCGCCACGCCGCCCCGCCGCCACTCCACGCCCTCCGCGCCGCCGGCCGCGCAGGGGCGCAGCTCGTGCAGCCACCCGCCGACCGCGGCGGCGCGCAGCGCGGCGGCGCGGCCGGCGGCGAAGAGGAGGTGGGTTTCGGCGACGCCGGGCGCGGCCGCGAGGGTTCGGGCGAGGCAGGCAAACGCGTGGCGGCCGCCGTGGATGTGGTGGCCGCTGTCGAGCTGGATGTTTTGCTTGATGAGTATCACGATCATGGTAGATCACGCATATGCTTCATACCCTGCGGGGGTGAGGCCTTGTCATGGGGAGCGCTGCTGGCCAGCACCACCGGTGGGCCGCTGCTCCTGCTGTCGCGGTGCGGGGGTGATTGACCAGCCCCACCCATGCGCTTCATTTGGTGCCTTGCAGCGCCACTCCTAACGTCACACACTCTGCTTCAGGTCGGGCGGTGGGCCCCATCGGCCCGGCCAGCCGCTGAAATTCGCTGGTGCCGCCGGCGCGCACGCCCGCGCAAGACTTGTACAACGCCAGCCAATGGAGGATCGTGACACACGCCTGATGCTCGCGGCAGATGGTGTTTTGAAGTATGTATATGTATTGACAAGGCTGCCTGACACAATGGTGAGCAGACGCGCTTGATCACTGGAGATCTGCTTGACGTTGGCCGTCCGCTGTATTGCTGATTATCATATCAGGTGAGCCGAGGCAACATCTGATCAGCCGTCGTGACGAAGTTTTCAATCATATAGTAGCAGCACGCAACGCAGCCGTAGCATCGCTCAGCTCACACAGCACGCAGAGCATGACGCACTTCCTTGTGGCATGCAGCACGTAGCTGATCGCATGGAAAATATATAATACATTGATGATTGGATGGAACTGGTTACTACGAGGGTATCCAGGCAGAATATTGTGTGCGTACTTCCTGCGCATAGATTCAAGCTGCTTTAGTCGCCTAGTCAGCAAACCGCAACTCAAACGTCCTGATCTCCATCGGGTACAGCTCCACCACAGGCATCTCATCCGATTCATGGTTCCACACATCGTACGCCTCCTGTGATCCACTGCCCCACCCCCACTCACCGCGCCCACTCCCGGCCGCCTCCCCGCCGCCGCCGCGCCCACGTGCGGGCGCAGCCGCTGCGCCGCCCCCCACGTCCCACTTGGCGCGCGGCGGCATGTCGGCGCGCCGCCGCGCGGCGGTGAGGGACAGCTCCGTGATTGACGCCAGGGGCCGTGGCAGGAGGGCGGACAGGTCGACGCGCGCCGGGCGCGAGAGCGCGGCGTCCTCCCCGACCTGCGCCGCGGCCAGCGGGCGGCAGAGAGGGCGTCAATTTATCTCAGCAGACGATGAATATCCTGAGGGGGAGCCCCTGCACCGGCGCGGCGTCGGGCCGACCGGCCGCCAGGCGCGGTGCGGCCCGTGTCACAAGCAAGAGAACCCCTCGAGCTTGCGAGTATCCAAAGGCCTGCACAAAGAGGCTACCCCTCACCCTTATCACAGCCCGTCCGTCCCCACCTGGAACTGATGCGCCAACCGCACGACGGCCCTGCTTCCGTCGCCCTCCTCCGCGCGCATCAGCGTCACGAGGTGCACGTTCGGCGCCAGCGGCGCGCCGCCCGCGAGCCCGGACCAGCGCCCGCGCAGGCCGCCGGCCCGCAGGGCGGCGGCGACGCCGGCCGGGCCGCCACCCCCGTTGCCGTATTCGTCGCCGCGCTCTTCAAGCCTCGCAAACGCCACCACTGGGGGGTCGTTCAGGAGCAGCTGGTTCAGCCTCAGATCTCGCGCCGCGCCGCTGACGTCACCGCCGCTGACGTCATCGTTGCTGAAGTCACCGCCCCCGGCGGCGGCCTCGGGGCCGGCGGACAGCAGGAAGCTTCCGCGGGCGACGAGGCCGCCGCCTCGGCACGAGCAGGCGCGGCAGCCGCACATGGTCTCGTCGAGGGTCTCCCCGACGCCCCTCAGGTCATCCACCGCGGTGGTCCTGCGCGGCGGTTGACCGGGTTGACCGGCTTTGAGGTCGCTCACGCGGCTTTCCTCGTGCAAACGGGCACCGGCGCCCGACGGCTCGCGGGCGCGGCGGCAACCGCCAATGGTGGGCGCGCCGCGCTGCTGCCTGGGGAACCCCTGCCGCGCGCTCGCCCGCCACCCGCGCGCACCTGCACCTTCCGCATTGACCCCAGCCCCTGCAGCTGGCAGCGCGGCGTAGACCCGCGCGGCGTGCTGCTCACCCAGGCCAGCCCGTAAGCATGCACCCGTGCGCACTGACCTGCACCTGCACGCACCCACGTCACAAACACTCGCACACAAACGCATTCGCGCACACTCCCCCCACACGAACACACACACACACACACACACACACACACACACACGCACATGCACACACACACAAACACACACACATAAGCCCACCTGTGCAG